GGGATGGAGGGATGGAGGGATGGAGGATGGAGGGATGGAGGGATGGAGGGATGTAGGGATGGAGGGATGGAGAGATGGAGGGATGGAGAGATGGAATGGATGGATGATAGATGGATGGATGGATGGATGGATGATGGATGGATGATGGATGGATGGATGGATGGATGGATGGATGGATGGATGAATGGATGGATGGATGGATGATAGATGGATGGATGGATGATGGATGGATGATGGATGGATGGATGGATGGATGGATGGATGGATGGATGGATGGATGGAGATGAGCAGGAGGACCAGAGCCTCTGCAGACACACTGGCAGGGACAAGACCCTGTGGGCCAGCCGGGCCGCAGAGCTGCAGACAGGCGGAGCATGGCAGAGGATTCTGGTGGGGAAGGGGGGATGAATGCATTCCCCACAGGGATGGAGACTGTGAGCAGGAAATGCCCAATTTGCCTGTCCTACACCAGGATAAGGACCACGTGGGCCTGGGAATGCTCCTTTCTTCACCTCCAACCCCCTCTTCGCTCACCATTTGGGCACTGGGGTGCAGGCCCAAGTGTTGAAACCACAAGCAGCAGCAGCCAAAGAGAAAGGCAAAAACATGGAGATGTTCCAGAGGGATAAACTCCCAGGAATAAAGAAAGAGCAGAGTGGTGGAAAAGAGAGGAGCCTCCACAGCTGGGTGGTGAGAGCTCTGGAGAAGATCCAGGATGAGAGAGAGAGACATGGATGAAGAGGATCAGCTCCTGAGGGTTCTCTCCTGCTACACCTGCTACTCTGTGCCCTAAAGTCTGCAAGCACCTGAGCTTAGAGCCTCCCTGTCTGGGACAGCGCTAAACTTGTCAGGCCTGAGCAGCCTGGGAAGGCTCAGACCGAGATCTGGATGTGACCTTGGCAGCTGGAAATCCCTTTTGTTCACTGTGGACAAGTTTCAGACCAAGAGATGTCCCCATGCTGCTCTTACCACATGGAGAAAGGTATCTGAGCAGCAAAACCAGCCAGAGTGGGAGACACAGAGCAAAAACTGCTCTGCTTCGCAGCTGGGGAGGCCAGCTCCTTGTTGTGCCTCGGGGCATCTCCCAGGGATGGGGAGCTCTCCATTCCCACCACGTTATCCCAACTCAGCAAACACCAGGGATGGGGAGCTCTCCATTCCCACCACGTTATCCCAACTCAGCAAACACCAGGGATGGGGAGCTCTCCATTCCCACCACGTTATCCCAGCTAAACAAACCCCAGGGATGGGGAGCTCTGCATTCCCACCACGTTATCCCAGCTCAGCAAACCCCAGGGATGGGGAGCTCTCCATTCCCACCACGTTATCCCAGCTAAACAAACCCCAGGGATGGGGAGCTCTCCATTCCCACCACGTTATCCCAGCTCAGCAAACCCCAGGGATGGGGAGCTCTGCATTCCCACCACGTTATCCCAGCTAAACAAACCCCAGGGATGGGGAGCTCTCCATTCCCACCACGTTATCCCAACCCAGTGTTTGGCTGAGGAAAGTCACACCAGGCAAGGATGGTAGGTGTATTCCAAGCTGTGTTTGAAATTCTGCTCACAACCCAGCGTGGTTCACATCTGCCGTTTTGACACTCTGCAGGATGGTTTGGGGTTTGAGAATCATCAGGTCAGAAGAGGTGTGACCTTTGAGACAACACCACAACCTGCAATTGTTTGTGTTAGCAGAGCCCAGCCATTAGTGCAAGCACATTCCAGACACAAAACATGCTAAGAGAAAAAAAAAATCCACACGCTTAAGACAACCCTTCCTCGCCTCACAGGCTACCAGAAAACAGAGGCGCAGCTCTGTGCTGCCTTCAGAGGTTTGGATCTGCTGTGTCTTTGGGGTAGTTAATTGCCCAAAGGGTGCAGGATTTCATCTGCTTGTGGGCGCCTCTGCCCGAGCACTGGCTGGAGCACCAGGTCTGGGCTGTGAGCATCCCTGCTGTGCTCAGGCCCGTGCCCTGGGCTGGCTGCCTGGGACAGAGGCCAAAGATTAAGAGAATAAAGTGGGCATTTATTAAAGGCCCTCAATAGCTGCACCTTGGGCAGTCAAAGCCTCCCGGAGGCCTCACACAGGGTGGATGAATTTTTCACACAATTTTAAATTTGGTCTTTTTACATATCAGGGGCTAACCTTCCAATTACAGCTTCAGGAAATGAAGTCATATTCCCCCAGTTTGCTTCCCCACAACTCACTTTTCTTTGTACTTTTCAGGGCCTGAGGCTGTAGGGTGTCCCTGGGTCTCAGGCCCAGAGGGATTGTTCTGCCTGCCCAAAATGTAGAGACAGGAGACAACACTTTATATAGAGTTTGGAGCGATGCACCAAAGCAGTATGGGATTTGAAAAATATAAAAGCTAAAACTCTAAGGTATCAGGGGGGTCCCGAAGCCTCAGACCCGGGATGCTCCACTGCTCTGCCTCCTGCCAGAGCACGGAGCTCATCAGTCCGAGCGAGCCTTGCAGGGGAGCAGAGCTTGAAAGGGAAACGGAAAGGAATTGATTTCCCTGAGCCATCTCCAAAGCGCTGGACATCAAAGGCAGGGCCACATCCCACCAAACCCAGCTGTGGCAAACCCAGCCCTGGCAAACCCAGCCCTGACAAACCCAGCCCTGACAAACCCAGCCCTGGCAAACCCAGCCCGGGCAAACCCAGCTCTGGCAAACCCAGGTTTAGCAAACCCAGTCCGGGCAAACCCAGCTTTAGCAAACCCAGCTGTGCCAAACCCAGCCCTGGCAAACCCAGCCCGGGCAAACCCAGCTTTAGCAAGCCCAGCCCTGCCACCACCAGCGATCACCAAGGGCTGACGTTACCTGCTGCTCCCAGCTCTGCTCCCAGCAGCCTCCACCTTTCTCTGCACACTCACATGGGCTTTTTTGCACTGATCCTCCAGCCTCCCACCCCATGAGGAGCTGGACATGCTCGTGCCATGGCATCTGCCAGAGTTAAACACCAACATGAAGCTGCAGCCCTTGACAGCTCCTTCCACTGCACTGGCTGTTATTGATGCGACAGAGGATTGCTTAGAAATAACAATAATTCCGCAGCAGACACCAGCAGATGACTCCTGCCCCGACCCCGCAGTCTTTGACAACACAGTTGTCCTTAAATCAGAGGCTTTCTGTGTTCATGTAGCCTGCCTTGTTTGCAGGGGTTTTCTCTGGGAGCTACCTGACTTTAAAACAAACAAATCACACGTTTGAAAAGCCAGGAGCCTCTTCCTGAGCTGGGGCATAAATAATGAGTGAGGAAGGGAGCACAGGAAGGGCAGGCAGTGTGACAGGGACCCCGTGCTTGCTTCCTGCAGCTTCATTCCTTTTCCCCAGGCTCTGTTTCTCCCCACATCCCAGACTCATATCCAGAATAAATCAGCGCAGGATTGTGAGATTGTCTTTTTGCCATCCTCTGCTGCTTTCCCTTCCCAGAACAATGGGCAGGAACCCACTGGTAAATGCAAAGCGCATTTAAACCTCGGCACAGGCACAACAAGAGATCCATGCAGGACCCCAGCCTTGCCCAGGCACATCCAGCTCTAGAGAACAGATTCCATGTGATCTCACAGCACCAAAGAGTGGCTTTAACCAGAAGCCAGCTGCAGACCACGCCGTGGCTTTGCATTCTCCCAGGAACGCGCGGGCCCACGGGCTGACGGAGCCTCCGCCACGCTCCTCCACTGCTCAGGAGCCCCAGCCTGGAAGGCAACCTGCAATTCACATCTGCAGCTGCGCTCAGGATCCATTAGCACCAGGACTGTGTGTTACAGAGCCTTCTCAGCCATTATCCCTCCCTCCCTGCCTCCCACGCCGCCTGCCCGCTGCCAGCACTGCAGGCTGCCCCGGTCACTCATGTTTTTGTGGCTTCATGATGCTGAGTGCCAAGCAGCAAAGAACTTCATGTGTCATTTGGATCCAGACCTCAGATGAAAGGATTTGGCTGAGCCTCAAAGACCCACTCCTCTCCCCCTATGTTAAATGAATGTAATTCAAACGAAATCAGGTTTTTAAGAAGCTGGTTGGCACCGAAGAGAGGACAAAGCCCAGCAGAGTGGGTGTGGACATGCCGGGTCCCCTCTCCGCGTGCTTCCAGCAGCTTGTGCTTTTTAACAGCAGCAGAGCAAGGAACACAGAGCTTAGTAATTTGAGTAAATCAAGCAAACACACGCCTCCCCACAGTGCACTGCTGAGACAGAACAAAATACCTGAGCGTGCGTTTGATATACACAGCATAAAGCAATGCAAGGCAGCTGAAGGACACTCAAATCCTTCCCCTGCCCTCTTTGCAGAGCTCAGTGCACGGGCTGTGCCCAGAAACCATGGATGGACAGGGCTCTGAGCAGCCCCTTCCAGTGGAAGGTGTCCCTGCTCCTTGCTGGGAGGTTGGGCTGAATGAGCTTTAAAGGTCCCTTCCCACCCAAACCGTGACTCCCTGGACACGTGTCGTGGCTTGGGGCAGAGCAGCCACCAGCAGTGACCACCCAGCAGGGCTCACAGCTGCCCAAAGAGGCTCCAGTTCCCCTGGAAGATCCCCCACGGCCCAGCCACATCACGCCACAAGCGCCTGGCCAGCCGGGCGCTGCTTACCTTGTGTGAGTAGTGCTGATCCACGATCCTGGCCAGGCCGAAGTCGCCGATCTTCAGCACCAGGTCCTCCGTGCTGATGAAGATGTTGGCCGGCTTGAGGTCGCGGTGCAGGACGTTGGCCGAGTGGATGTACTTGAGCCCGCGCAGCAGCTGGTACATGAAGAGCTTGGCGTGCTCCTCGGCCAGCTTGCCCTGCTCCAGCAGCCGCGCCAGGTCCGTCTCCATGTACTCCTGCACGATGTACACCATGTTGAACTTGAAGAAGTCCCCGCGCAGCTTGGCGCCCTTGGGGCCCAGCACCTCGTAGACCTTGACGATGTTCTCGTGGTCCAGGCGGCGGATGATCTTGATCTCGCGGAAGGCGTGCTTGACGCTGCGGGCATCGCCCAGCGTCAGCTTCTTCACGGCCACCTTGCGGCAGCTGCGGCTGTCCAGGGCGGACAGCACCAGCCCGTTGGCCCCGAAGCCCAGCGGTCGGAAGTTGACGAAGCGGCAGCCCAGGTCGTAGCCGTACATGCTGGCGATGCAGTCGCACTTCTCTGCCATCGCGCGCTCCGGCTCTCCCCGCTCCGCCGCTCGTCACTCGGGAAGCCGGGGACGTCCCAGGGCGGGCGGGTCAGACACGCGGCTGGAAAACGAGCCCCTCATTGCTACTCACGGGTGCCTGGAGAGGGGCCTTGCGCTCAGCCCATCACTTCGAGACCACACAGCGTGAAAATGAAGCTGAGGATACACAAACATGCAGAGAAATTAAATGTTTTAAACTGACTTTCCGAGCAGCATAGAGAAACAGAGATCTCTATCAGGGAAGGGAAGGGAAGGGAAGGGAAGGGAAGGGAAGGGAAGGGAAGGGAAGGGAAGGGAAGGGAAGGG